ACACAAAATTAAAAAATTTTCCGGGTGGAAAATTATACCAATCAAACACACTTAATTAACAATTCCCTACAAAAAAAATTTCTAGACAATTGTTTTTTCTGGAATTCATTTTCTTTCCACTCATTTTCTACCATTGCAATCAAACTGACCTTTATCAATATACGATAGAGAAAAGAGAAGAAAACAAAAAATTCAATAGACTTTTATGTATTTTATTATGAATCAAAACATTATAATTATAGGAAAGAATTAGAGTTGTAAGAGATACAATAGTCATTCATAAATACTATTTTATTTACAACACTCCTTCTTGAATGACTATCTATACAACAACTGTCTCATTAATGATATTATTTGGCGAAAATTCGATGGGACAAAAATACCAAACAAATAAAAAAGAGTACAAATAATTTGGAGTAATAAAATGCCTCATTAAAACCTTATCAAAAAAATCCAATGGGATAAAATTTGAACAAAGGAAAAAGAGTACAAATGCACTCCTAATATCAATAAATGAGAATTTTGTATCGAGCCATCCATATCTTGTATATTAATATCTTCAATATCACAATTTATGGTGAAATGTGTCTCATATTGTCATGTATAGTTTTCAAGCAATATTGTCTTCATAGATGATATTTATCAATCGTTTTTTTATCCTTAGTCAACATGACGATCTATTGAAAAATAGATTGTGTTGTTGATCTCTTCGGAAGTCGTACACAATTTGTAACTGTTGCGGAATGAACCTTTGATTAGGTGGAATTCTGACTCAATTTAACTTACCAATATCAAACACAATCAACCAATTTCTCCAACCCAAAACTACTACTATAACTCTTTGGTTGACATTTCTAATATACCCACAAGGAACACAAGATGATGATATTTGCAAAAAGGGCCACAAAGGCAGAGAAAAGGCAAGGCAAGGCAAGGCAAGGCACGAAGAGAGAGATGGTAAAATAAAAAATAAATAATATATATATATATATGTATGTATGTATGTATGTATGTATGTAAAGTTATATTATCAATTGGGCCAAGACACCAAGTAATGGGCCAAGATCATCCAACAAATGGTCAACACTAAGATAATTGGGCTAGCACATTAAAAGGACCATTCAAGAGTTATATTGGTCATGGGCAACATTAACTAATTAAATTGCTTCCAATGGCTCGAGTTGTTTTCGGGTTGAGCCTATAAATTGATTGTGTTGATAGTTATTTCACTCATCGGCCGACGCCTATAAAATATAATCCAAACATCATTGCCCGAGATTTATTGGGTATCAAAAAATCCAACAAATCTCCACATTGATACCCAATCAACCTGCAAATAACAAAACACACAGTTTATACTCGCATAATCAAGGAAACCAATAAAATGGTATCACATACCTTACCACGTGTTTCAGACTTGAAACACATATCATATATGTTCCATGTACTCACAAGGGCTAAGTTCACAAACAAATACCCAAGTATGAGCAGATAATTACAGTAATCAATCAAGAGCAAATAATCATGCGATAGAGATGTCATACATGATAACACAGATCTTTTCAAAGAGATACTTTCACACATAACAATAGATTAACACCAACAAATGCATAAATGACCCTACGAAAAGATTTCACCTCACTTATCTTATCCCATTTCGTGTATCTCACATCTCGAGAGCACATATCTCACCTCATCGCCCACCATGCTGACTAGACTAATCACTCAACCCATGTCTAACTAGTAAACCTCTATAGATTCTAAGTCCTTGGGACAATCCGCTATCACCACATTACTTCTCCCAACCTAAATGGATAATGGGTCTCTACCTAATAGAAGTGATAGAAGTGCTTCTCTCACACTCCACATGTACATGGTCTCTTCACAAATAAAGGATTCCAACATTTGATCACCTATCCACTCGTGATCCAAATGTCACACTCCACATCCCCGGTACAAACCACCAATGTACCCAAATGCATCTATACCCCATCTCACCAATAGACATACAACTTAACTCACTAGGCATACAAACAATTACACCAAGTAATTAAATGCTCTCAAATTCATGCAAATGTACATATCAAAAACATTGAAATGCACATATAACTATGCAACATAATTAAGCAATCACATACATGCAGAAAGGATTACATACGGATTCACATGCAGTAACTATGTTTACTCTCAATAAATCTCACTAGGGTCATCACTCGACCATATAACCATGTTTGCCTCGTCTCTCATCTTACCCTTCTGCTTATCATTTTTCTTCTTGGGACAGTCCCTAATAAAATGTACAGTCTTACCACAACTGTAATATCGTCTACCACTAGACTTGTCACATCACTTGCCCTTCTTCTTACCACACTCATCACTCGAGTTACTACTCGAACCACCATTGTCTTGAACTCTACCCAAATCCATCTGCTTAAACTTCATTCTACTTCTCATCATATGCAACTTACAACTTCTCTATTCTATTTTTCGGCTTTAATCTCTGTCTTCTTACTTCTAAGGGAATCTGTGACAATCTCGAGTGTTAAAGTGTCCCTACCAACCTCTTTATATGAATCAGCCATAGAATTCAGCAAAATAATGGTCTTATACGTTTTAGACACTTTTTCATCACAATTAACGATATCTTGAATAAATTTGTTGAAAACATCTAGATTGTCTCAAGATCCTTTAAAGGATCTATTTTAAAATTGAAAAATCTTTCAAACAAGTACAATTTATTAGGAGTAGACTTGAGCAAATATAAATCATCTAATTTTTGCCAAAGTTCTTTTGTAGAATCAAGTTTTCTAAGTTTTCTCAAAACGGTATCGAATAGGTGTAAAATCAAGTTTATCATATTCTTCCTTCCGTGCTTCTATCAAATTTGTAGAAAATTTGCCATCTATGACTTTTGAAACCTTTTATTGAACTAAAATCCTCTTCATCTTTGGTTGTCAAATTGAAAAATCCCCTTTCCAATTGAAAATTTCAATTTCGAAATGTGAAGACATTTTGAAAAACAAAACAACCAAAGTGCACAAATGAATCACATAAAGTAATCGTAAGGAAATAATATTCACAGTTCTAGATTTTCAGGGTTTCGTGAGACTCGAGATCTCATATCAAGAGAATGTTCAAACGGGTCAAGTCTAGGTGTTATAACAGAATAATCAATGCAACACGAATGTATGTCAACGAAAATTCAAATTCTCAATCAATTAAACACAGAAGTAATTATCAACTTGCAGTTAAATCCAACACTTCAAATATAGCAAATAATTCCTAAATTTCTAGCACAAGCAAAGATTACCCTACACGATGGCGCGCTAATGCTGAAATTTAAATTGGGATAAGCCAATAAATCAGAGCGGACCAATCTGAATCCATAAATAACAAGAGGTGCAAATTTACTACTTTAGGACCACCACTATTCGTCCTAAAGTTTTCAGAGGAAACCGTCACCAGAGAACCCCTCACACGCCCTCCGCGCGGTCTCCGGAGTTCCACGCGTCGGCTGCCACGCACCGTCGCCGCAGATCACGCGCCACCTACCCAGGTGTGCCTCGATCTGCATATCAAGGTTCTGGCCTCCGTTTCACCAATGGACTTCTGGATTGCCCGGAAATAAAGCTTACAAGTCCGATTTCTTGAAGAAAAAATGGCAGTTTTTTCACTTCCGATTTCTACTTCGTTTCTGGTAGTTTCCAGCTGGTTTTTGGTTGGAAAAACATGGATTTCTCACCCCCAACAAGCTCTGATACCAATTTTAGCGGAATGAACCTTCGATTTGGTGGAATTCGGGCTCAGTTTAACTTAC